ATTCTTTAGCTCTATAACGTTTGATGCGAAACAGTGAAACCAGGATATAAATCAAACAATTAACCCCAGCAAGAAAATGAATCAATCAATCAATCAACTGTGGAATTTCTCCGTAAACTAAAAAATGAAGCGCTTTATCCAAAAATTAATATTTTTAAATGGCCATTGATATAAAAGTACACAAGATATTACTTGGGAGAAGATTCCAAATAATGAGATTTAAGATGTCACATCTGGATCATATCAAGAATCTTTGTGCGTTCTTGGTTTCACGCTTTCTACAGTGCAAAGATGAAGTTGGATCAGGCTTCAGTCAAATTGGAGGATTCTTCAAAAACGAACAGAGGATATGAGTGGTGAATTCTGAATTGATGCTTGTACGAGCCTCTCTCTCTCTTAAGAATTAGAATGGAGATAAAAAATCACAATATTATCGGTGTTGTTTCCTTCATTATTATCTCTATAAAATCAAATTTTAAAGAAGAAGAAAAAAAAGTGAATAATCAATCTTATTAGTATTTTGAAATACTTACAACAAAGTCGATAGAATTTTTTAAGGAGTTATAGATTTTACTTGTCGACTAACCTTTTAATGTAACCAATTATGGTCGATGATTACAGAACTCTTGTCTACTTAACTAATCTGTTGAATGCATTGATCGTATGTTATTAAACCATTACTTCTTTCTACGATAATTTATGTTACGATTACTATAAGAATCAAACTCTCAATCATCTCGTAAATTGATTTACGATGCAAGGCCCAAACCGCAGGACTCGATTGCTTAAACAATCTCATTGTAATAATTCCATAAATGTATGCATTTGTTAGCTGTTGGACCCTCAGCCTCCTATTCCTGATAGAGTTGGCAGAGGGAGAAGGATGATGGGGCCAATACATTAGAAGAAGAAGAAGAAATTCGTAGTCAAAAGGAACTTTTTTTAGAGATCAAATCAGAGCGTGAAAGTTGGTCAAAACTGACACACCCTCGTGCTGTCTCGAACCTCGTGTTCCCTCAGATTGCTGATGTCTTGCTTCCATCACCACCTCTCCTCTTCCAATCTATTTGACTTCCAGTTGCATGTTAAAAAAATATTCCAAACTTACCTAATTAATCCGACATCCCCTCACAAAATCTATCCAAGAGAAATTTCGAAAATGGAATTTACGTTAGACTTTTCTTTTTAGTATATTCACAATCTTTAGGCTTATCCTTTACACTGGTGGTATTTTTTTTTTTTACGAAAAAATAAATTCTTGTAATAAATATTTCCATGATTACTGTTTATATATTCCCTCCAGTCCTTAATATAATGCATTTTGATTTGTTCTAGGTTTCACCTCGGACGCATTTTTAATTGACAAAAAAATTTTAAAAATATTTATTAACAATCAAGAGAAGAAAATGAATGTGAAAATGTATTTTTAAGATCTTTTTTTCGATTAAAAAATATATATTAGGTAAAATTTCGGACAAATCAAAATGTATAATATTAAGGATCGGAGGGATTACCGGTGACCATGTTTGAACCAGGAATTAAGCGTCTCTCCCAACTAATAATTCGCTAAATATTTGTTGGTAATTTCAGTCTTTAGCTTTTCATAACTTATTCACTCTTCTACCGGTCATTGTGTTGTACTTTTGGATCAACACATGTATTTCTCCTCTCAATATGCCACTTTAAAATTACTAATTTTTTTTATCTTTATTTTTTTACATTCTCCACAAAATGATATGTATTGATCACGATTTTTGTAGTCACTACTACCACAGGTTGTGCAGTTTGATTGACACCCTCAAAGTGAACAGGAGCAATGATATTTTGCGGAGGGTGGTTTGATTCACAAACATAGTAGAATTCATAAACTAAAATGTAATTGTTTTTTTTGGTGGCAAATTAAGGGAGGATGTTATATCAATCTTTCGTCCAAGAAGCCCAAATAATGGTCTAAATAAGGCTATATTTGGTCTGTTGAATTCATCGAAAGCTCAAATCAGGTCTTCACCTTCATATTAAACTGAAATATTAAGTTAAACCGTTTCTAATAATAGTATGTATATCTCACTATTTGCATTATGAATTATTTGTTTGAGATAGAAAGATTAGTTGAGATTATATATTTAGATTCGGATGTTATTTTCAAGAGTTTTTCAATCAAATGATATCATCTTGCTTGTGGAACAATAAAGTGTAGGATAGTGATAAGATGGCATCCCTCACTTTTAATTAATTAGATTGCAAACTCAATTCACACGAAGGAAGTGAGGAATTATTATTATTACTATTATATTTTGGTTAAATGATGTCCAATTGTCCATATATCCAAGGCAGCAATAAAAAACTTTCAAGAAAAAGAAAAGGAACTGTCCCCTACTAGGAGGTAAAGTTTAAAACACCAAAAGTGGCATGGGATTCCGTTTGAGTGATTTTCAAGTTACTATTATTATGATGACCATATTGTTGGGATGGAATGGAATGGGGAACGGCGGACCACATTGCAAAGCGTTAATTTTGCGAAGCATGCTCACAAAATGATTGGAAGGGCCGATTGAGTATGAAAATTGGATCTCAATGGTCCTCAAAATAAATCCTTTTTTTCTTTTCGTTTTGCGGGATGTGGTGGCTTGTAAGATGAATGGATGGATGCCAGGTAATTTGGCTACAAATGATTGAATCAAACACGGATATGGTATCCATCATCACTTCAATTTCGCTTCCATCCAAACCCAAAATGTGCAATGACAATCACTCCCTCTGTACAAAAATAAATAAAATGGTCATGTTTGCTTTGAGAGTATAATAACAGAATTATTATTGTGGTGGTCTAGATTAGTGATATTAGTCGATCAAGAGGCGGGTGGGAAGGTGTGTTACAGTCGTAGTGACACTAATTACAAGATTGATATTTGTTATTGTCTCTACTGATAACACCCCAACCAAATGATAAGTGAATCAAACACAATTACAAAATCTTTTGCGTGTCTGAAGGTCCTCCACAGTATTAATTTCCCTTTTTGGTTGCTTATCAATTATCACTCACTCATCGGGTGATAGTTTTGGAACACATTATTTGGAGTCTCGTCTCATTTCATTTTGTCCTCCCTCCATCTCAAAATTATATTTTCAGCTTTAATAAAATTAAAGTAAAAATAAAAATTTAATTTGGGCAAAAAATTTTTGGACGGAAGGAGTATGTGACAAATAGACCTAATTTTTTCAACAGAACTTCAAAGAGGGGGGAAAAAAGGTCTCGAGTCTTTCTGTTACTTCTATCTAGATAGAGGAGATGGTATATTTGTTTTGGGCTCAAATACTTCTACTTACTATTGGGCCTAGTTGAGCATTCAAAATTTTGGGCCTCAACTTCAAACCTTGGACATTTTTAAGTTACGGTTTAGCAATTAGCATTGTACATCTTCTCTAACGACGGTAGTGGAATTAATTCTCCCTGACGGCCGGCAGAAGGCTGCTTTTATCTCCGGCCATCCCATACCGACTACCGTTTCGGGAAGGTACAGCCTCAACTGCCACAGGGATTTTTCGTTTTTGGTTTTGATAGGTTTTCGAGAATTCGATTCCTTGCGGTCTTTGTTTGGTTCCGAAGCTAAATTAATCAGCAATATTGGGAGGGTATATTGATTACTCTTATTCACTGGTCCAAAACGCCCTCAAACCATTCTGCGAATTCGATCGGTCTTTGTTGCACTATCCGACGAAGAATCATTAACGAGAATACCGGTTTTGATATAATACTAGGAATCAAGAGATTTGCTTACCCATGTGGAGATTCGATTATGGCTTTGACGAATGAGGTTGGGGGGTAAGCTTAGCGGATGATCATTATCAATTGGCAATTCTTCAAAGCAGCAATTCTTCAAAGCAGAGAATTGTCCAGTCCACTTGATTCTTGAAAATTAAATCATGTAGTAGTAGCATCAGAACCTGATGAAAGCCTCATTCTTTGAAGAGCTAACGGATTCCCTGACTTGTTACATTTTCAGACATGTAATATATATACTCCATGGCTCGACTGTTTTCACTTAAAAACGAAGAGTAGTATAACATCCAATAATTGACATCAACTTAACCTTTTGAATAAGTGTCAAAGCCTACCTATGTTACCCAAAGTAAATCACAAGATAGTCCACAATATAAGAAAACAAGCAAACAAAAAAAAACAAAATAAAATAATAAATAATTTGATCCAAAAAAAAAAATAAGATCACTGCATCCTCGTAAATCATTTAGTCGCTGAATTGGGTAACAAAAAGTGTTTTCATGGTGGATTATTCACCGGAAGACAGTCAAGACACGGTTGAATCGACACAGTTTTCGTGAGCATTCCAGTTAGTGGGCTCGTTGCTCAATACATGGGCCTTTGACCTCAATCTCCACTAACAATGGGCCTTGACTCTCCCAATTTGGACTCGGGCTTTACTCCTTCTTCTAATGGGGAAAAGAAAAATTAAAAGCCTTTGCTAGTTTGCTTAGTCCCAATGTTCGAATAAGTTGTGAGTATATCTGTCCAAAAAATGTCAACATTCACATTCACTTTTGAGATTTGTCCTAATTTAGATACAGAACTAATTTAGTACAAATCTTAAAACTTAAACTGAATGTGAACTTGTGAACTGAGGAAACACGTTTTGTCAATACTTCCGGCTTCAATCCTAGAGAAATTAGCGGTAGATGAACATAGCTCGACTCCATCTTGATGAGTTGACTTTTGTAACGGAGTTTTTGTTCTCCCAGTATTAAAAAATAAATAAGAAGAATTTTTTTTGAGAGAAGAAGAATTTTTTTTTTTTACTTTTTATAATTAGTGGTTTATAACTTGAGATAGTTAACTTAACGATTTAATTAATTAGAGTTGTTGACAGTAAACACTTCCTAAACGATGATGGAGAAAAGCCTTGCTAAGTTATGGGAGAATCCTTAGCTGTTTAGAAGATTGCCAGCTAAGCAGAATACCAAAAAACCTCCCTCAATCAATCATTCTTACGTACGAAGTATGAGTAGTTTCTTTCTTCTTTTTCTGTCTTTTCTTTTTCCCCTTTCCTTCACACGTAAATAAATTCAATTTACGAATGTTTTCAAAAAAAAAATAAAAATAAAAATAAATTCAATTTCGCATCTTGCCTGTCACTTTTATACAAAGAAGACAAGAAAGAAAAGGAGAGAGAAGGAGTTTAAATACTCGGTGGACGGTGTCGTATCACACATATCCCCCCCCCTTGCCCTCTTTCATCTTATTTTTGTCTCTCTGTCTTTTAGGCTTTCTCCCTTCTGTCAAAAGTTTGTTCTTAATATATGTTACCGACTACACTATTTTTTTCCTAAACTAATTAAAATAAGATTATATCAGTAATTGGATTAAAAATTGATTGATTGATCGATCAATTTGATCGTTTTATTACACGTTCCAGAGAGATCTCTCCTCTCCTGTTTGTCTATTTTCTCATCATCGTCCTCGCTTCTGCTTTTCCTTTCCTTGCACGTTGAGTATTTTTCCGTCCTCGAAACGATGTCGTACGCGTATCTGTTCAAGTACATCATCATCGGCGATACCGGTAATTATCTCTTCCATCCTTTTCTTTCTGCGTGTGTGTGTGTGTGTGTGTGTGTTTTTGCTCAATCGTTCGATTCATGTGGATTTTGTTGCTGTGTATTTTTTCATTCTGACTTGGATGAATTTTAGTTGGGATTCTGTGATTTTCTTCACTGATAAGATCTGAAAAGTTTAAAATTGTTCAGGTGAATCTACAATACGTTTATGCGATTGATTTCTGCCCTAGTTTTCCCGAAAGTTGGTTCCTTTAGGGTAATTTCGGATAGTGGAAATGACGAGTTTATCTATTTGCTGTTTGGATTTGTCCCCGTCTTCCATTTTACGGGATACGGTTATGTGTGATCTTGCTTCAATTTGCGGTGAACCTTCAATGATGTAGTTTGTTTACCTTTCCCTGCTATAGTTGCACGTATTCAGTTGTGCTGAGATTAGGGTCTGGAATGACAAATTCATAATTGCTCTATCCTGCTTGGTTTAATCTGTAAATCATTGTGGTGGCTTCGGTGCGATTATATGTATGACAATGCAAATTTGAACATGCTAAAGGAACTTTTTGCATACCCAGACCCCCCCAGTCAGGGGTTTTAGTCAGGTTATTATGTAAAGCTACTAACTTTATCAGCATTGCATTTAAAAAAAAATGGAAACTTTGGTTTCTGTAATTGGTTGTTGGACTGTTGGATCATGTATGCGGTTTCATGGAAAAATAGAAGCTTTTGTATTTTACATAAGTGCCTGTATCTTTAGCATTTAGGGAACCTTGAAATTGGTACAACTTTGATTGCAGTGGCTAACTAAATCTTCTACCGTGCAGGCGTTGGGAAGTCATGCCTTCTGCTGCAGTTTACTGACAAGAGATTCCAGCCCGTACATGACTTAACCATTGGTGTTGAGTTTGGGGCCAGAATGATCACGATTGATAACAAGCCAATCAAATTACAGATCTGGGACACGGTATGTTTTTTTTTATTTTTATGTCAGTGTTTGATTTTTGGTAGTTATCTCAAATTTCTCCTTAGCAAATTTCTAGTATTGGATACTGATCTTGCTGTAACCGTGTGATAGCTTACCCAAATGAATTCTTTTGATTGCTTGTAACCTTTATCTATGTTATTATTACAAGAAATTGAAAAAAAAAGTTGCTTTGCATGACTTCCATTGTTTCAGGCTGGCCAAGAATCATTTCGGTCAATCACTCGGTCTTACTACCGAGGTGCTGCTGGAGCACTGCTAGTTTATGACATCACCAGGTAGATTTTTCTTTCAACATTTAGGTTACTGAACATGTATGTGTTATCCTTCTGATTTCAAAAATAAGAGAGAAGGGGGTAAACATTATTTTTGATCAATATGTTCCCCTGTGATGGATATATATGGTATGCTATAGAATGCAGAATTATTATATTCTTTGCCAACAGTTCATATAAAGAGTCTGATAGTTTATAATGTCGTTTTTCTGCCAGTTTTGTTATGACAATAGAGACTCATCATTGCATGAAGTTTTTGTTGATGATTGGTTTGATATAAAGTGCAGTTCCAGTAATGTGTGCCTTTTGTTCTCATTAAAAGCTTGTGACTTGACTGCTTGTTTCCTTTTTTAAGTGTCAACTTTCAAGTTGCTACAACATTATTTGTAGATTTTATCCTTGTGAATCAATCTCTCATCTGCACTCAATTTTTTAACTCGTTAATCCTGTAGTTTGGGCATTTAATTATCTGGATTCTACTTTCTCCTGTCAAAAACAATGATACACCTTTGAACCTTTTAGGAGGGAAACGTTTAACCACCTGGCAAGTTGGTTGGAAGATGCTAGGCAACATGCAAATGCAAATATGACCATTATGCTTATAGGCAACAAGTGTGATTTGTCTCATAGAAGAGCTGTGAGCACTGAGGAGGGTGAGCAATTTGCTCGGGAGAATGGCTTGATATTTATGGAGTGCTCTGCAAAAACTGCTCAGAATGTTGAAGAGGTGAAATCACTATACTCTTTTTGTTATGAGAATTTCCTGCATAAGCTGCTACCTGTTCTTTACTGAAGGTTGCTGATCTTCGATTGTACTTCCATTTGTTCCTTCTCAGGCATTTATAAGCACTGCTGCTACAATCTACAAGAAGATTCAAGAGGGAGTTTTTGATGTGTCGAATGAGGTATGGCAAGTGAAATTTTTACTTTTTCTGAAGGTTTACTAGTTCTTGATTTCAGTGACTTTGTGGTTTTCCAGTCACTTTAAATCTAGTAGCTCGACGCAATTACATCTGTTAGGTTGATAATTCTATTTACTATATGAGTGTACTTGCGTTGTACAACAGCTACTTTTAGTTGAGTGCCTTGTTATTTTGTAAAATCATTGGGATGGCTGTTCTACCATATTAAGTCCCTTTTTTTTTTTCTTTTCTCTGAATGCCTATGTGGAGAAATTTCCTTTCTTAGTCAACAAAATGTAATGGTATCTTGATATGCATATAACTCTGGTCCTTTTGGTGATGATCTTTAAACACCGTTGTTGAAGCCTTGGCACGGCAAGTAGTTTTTTTGCCATGATTTCTTCAGTAATTGTACTTGGTGATGATTTTAAACACCTCTATTCTAGTCGTGCAGTGTCTTTTTTCTTCAAAGAGGCCCCATTTCTTCCTTTTTTTTTTTTTTCTTGACTTCATTTAAATTGTTGGTATGCTTAACTTTACAGTCATACGGGATCAAAGTTGGATATGGAAACATCCCAGGACCACAAGGAGGCAGAGATGGAGGAAACACTCAAGGTGGTGGTTGCTGCAGTTAAAATGCCAAACACTCATCGTCACGAACTGTTACTGATTATTCTGGCTTTTATAGGCACAAATGTTATTTTATGTCTGCCTAGGCAACTCTCCTTATATTTTCTTTAATTTATCATCAAAATTGTGTAATATGGTAAGAAAATAAACCGAGAAAAAAGGGGAAAAAAAAAGTTTGGTATATAGGAGATTGTGTGAGTGTTGGTTGTGGGAATTCGGTGCTGACTTCTGTAACATTCGACCCTCAAGTCCTCAACTCATTTGTGATTCTTGTGAATATGGCTTGATATTTAAAGTTCACGTACATTCCTGTGATGTGGTGGTTAAGTACGTCTTCATTTTTTATTTTTTGTTTTTTTGGGAGAACTGTGTTGCAATCAGTGAATTATGTTGGGAGGTGATTGTGAGTGATGTTTAATCAGGAAAAGGTTATAGTGAATCTGAATCATCATGTCATTAATTTATTCGACGGTCATCATGAAATAACACATCAAAATCACATGTCAAATGTGAAAGTGATGGACATGATACTGTTATAGATATTACTATGACATTTAATGTCTTTTACGCCCAGGCGTTTTATGAGAGGTTTAGATATAAAAATCTCATATTTCTTCTCCAGGACACACCTTCATTTCAAATGTACTATATAGGATCTTCAAAACCATCCAACCATGGGAGGTTTCTCAATGAAGTGCAACTTTTGAACGCTTTTAGTGTGTTTTTTCACACTAGAAAATTGTAAGAGAGTGGAAGAGAAAGGTGTGTTTTAGAACAAAGGTAAATGATCTTGTTTTAGCCGGATCTGAGATGTTTCTGTTTCGATTTTTTAATGTGTGTTTTTAAATGTCTTTTGTATTGAAATATAAAAACGTATGTTGAGATAGTAAAATTATTATTAATATTATGAAAAAAATCACGAAAAATCGAAACAAACAGAGGAAGGGAAAAATGAAATAAATATTGCCAATTTGGCAGCATGATTGGGAGATTCGATACACATAAAACCCCGACAAAATCGTGAGTACTGAGACCTTGAATTCAGAGATTTTTCTCGAATCAGAAGTTTCTGTAGTCTGTACTACTTTAACCACTGATTTACTAGATCTTTGATTTTTTTTTTTTAATTTTATTAAATTAATTATTGTTATTTAAAAAACAATGTAGTAAAACGTAAACTACTCAAAAGTTTGCGGCTTCACGTGTCGTCTCACCGTGAACCTCATAAACTGACATCCCAAGATTTTTTCACAACTAGTAAAAAATAAAAATAAAAAAAAGCATAAACTTATATACCCTTGATCAATTACCCAATATATCCTCTCGTGTTTTTGAAACGGTGAACCAATTACGGCAAAACTCCAAGGGCGAAAACTGTAACATCCCATCCATATTAAAACGGACGCCTCTCAATCAGTCCCATTTCAGTCCAAACTCTAAAACTCCAAAAATCACAGAGAAAGGTTTTTGAGTGGTGAAGACTCATCTCTGTTTCTTCTTCGTCCATGGCAGCCATTGGATCATCCCCGCCTTCATTCAAGCTCTCCGATCAATTTACCCGCAATGCTGCCTTAATTGACCCCGCCGGAGCTCCGGCCAAGGTCCTTCGGTTCTCTTCGGCTTCTTCCAATGTTTTCGGCGATAAATTCGTAAATGCTTCCAATTCCGGCGTTCCCCGCGCTGTGCTCCGTCGTCGTTCCGGCGGTGGCGGAATAGTGAAGCCGCTGATTGTGTCTCCTAAGGCTGTTTCTGATTCCCAGAATTCGCAGACTTGCCTCGACCCGGACGCAAGTCGCGTAAGCTCTTTTGATCTTCTAATTTTTTTTGTTCTCATTTCTCAGTTTGTTTTTCAATTAGTATTGTAGTCTTTGAGATTTCGCAAGCGGAATCATAATTGAAAATTTTTTTATTTTAGTCTTTCTCTGTGAGATGAAGGAATGTGATGGCTTAGAATTGGTTGTTAGTTTAAGTATGGTCTTAGATCCACCCCCAGTTCCATGCGTCTGATTTAGTGATGAGTTTTTACTGCTTTGAAGGGAAATTCGAATGCATGTATTTGATCTAGTGACGGTGTATTTGAATGAAAATGTTGCTTTTGCTTTATCCCTGCCTTTTCCTTTTTTGGACTGTACGAAAAAGAATCATAGAATGATAATTTTGTGATTGGTCGGCGATTGGATTTATTCTTGGCCTTAATGTTTTACTAGAATAATTCTAGTCATTATCATGTAAACAACTTTCTGACGCTTACATATGAAATTCGTACAGTTTAGTCAGAAAGTTGGAAGCTTTAGTGCAACACAAACTTTTTTGAATTTTTAACTCCTCATCTTAGCCTTACTTTCTGTTGTATTTCTATGCAGAGTGTGTTGGGAATTATACTTGGAGGTGGTGCAGGGACTAGACTTTACCCTCTTACAAAGAAAAGGGCAAAGCCAGCTGTTCCTTTGGGAGCAAATTACCGTCTAATCGATATCCCTGTCAGTAACTGCCTGAACAGTAACATCTCTAAGATTTACGTTCTCACACAATTCAATTCTGCATCACTCAATAGGCATCTTTCACGTGCTTATGCGAGTAATATGGGAGGATACAAGAACGAAGGATTTGTTGAAGTTCTTGCAGCTCAACAGAGTCCAGAAAATCCCAATTGGTTCCAGGTAGATAACTTTTTTTTTTTTTGTAAATTCAGTCATTTTGAGTTTTGACTATATTACAAACTTTCCGATTCATGCAATCTACATTTGTGGTTATGGTTCTGAATATGTGGTGTGCAGGGTACAGCTGATGCTGTACGGCAGTACTTATGGCTTTTTGAGGAGCATAATGTGCTTGAATTCTTGATTCTTGCTGGAGATCATCTATATAGAATGGATTACGAGAGATTCATTCAAGCTCACAGGGAAACTGATGCTGATATTACCGTTGCTGCCTTGCCAATGGATGAAAAACGTGCTACGGCATTTGGTCTAATGAAAATTGATGAAGAAGGACGCATCATAGAATTTGCTGAAAAGCCTAAAGGCGAGCAATTGAAAGCTATGAGAGTAAGCATCTGGAGCTTACCTACTTTAGGTATATAAATTAAAAATGATAGTAGTTCTGATAATATTCCTTTTCTCGATCTTTCTGGTTTCAGGTGGATACTACAATTCTAGGTCTTGATGATGAGAGGGCCAAAGAGATGCCTTACATCGCAAGCATGGGTATTTATGTTGTAAGTAAAGATGTGATGATAAATCTACTCCGTGACCAGTTTCCTGGAGCCAATGATTTTGGAAGTGAAGTTATTCCTGGTGCAACTTCGATGGGGCTGAGGGTACTTAGAAAATTTTCCTTCCTGAATTGTTAATATGAATCATTTCTATTATCTCCAAATAGCTCTTTCTTTTGATGGCATTAGCTGATATTGTCATTTTGTCCCCCAAAATCTCATGCTATTAGATTAGCTATATTTTGGGAAATTAGCAAACAAGGATGCCTCTCCGTAGTGCCCAAGTATTGCACGTCTAGCTGATCAAACACTCATACAGGAGATAGTTGCATGGGCTTTTTAGCTAACACATACCTATTGTATAAGTGATAATTTTTGCAAAGAATATATAGCATTACTCATTTTTCTGTACTTCTCATTTGATAATTTTTCGCAAAGAATACTTAGCAATGGTCCTATTATTCTGCACTTGTTCAGTTTTGCCTCTTGAAATCTGATTGTACTGCTTCTTTGAAGGTTCAAGCTTATCTATATGATGGCTACTGGGAAGATATTGGTACTATTGAAGCTTTTTATAATGCTAATTTGGGGATAACAAAGAAACCAGTTCCAGATTTCAGGTTTGGCTTACGTTCTTGAAACAATAGCCTTACTTATATGTTTCGGCCTTTGTTACAGAAAATAGAAACTCTGATTGGATATTTTTAATATTTTGTAGCTTCTATGATCGGTCAGCTCCAATATACACGCAACCTCGATATCTGCCTCCTTCGAAGATGCTTGATGCAGACGTGACAGATAGTGTCATCGGCGAAGGCTGTGTAATCAAGGTAACATTAATTTTGGGAAAATCCGTGATGCTGTCTTTTAGATGTTTTGGATAGTATTGCATGCAAGATTTGTGCTGTAATTTCTGATCCACATTTTTTTTTTCATTACAGAACTGTAAGATTTACCATTCTGTGGTTGGGCTAAGATCGTGCATTTCAGAAGGTGCAATTATCGAAGATACACTGTTGATGGGAGCAGATTACTATGAGGTAATGATGTCCTATGAATTTGACTTATGTTCTCAAGAATGTATGGTTTGCATTTAGTTGTGTTGGTGGTGACTCACTTCAAGTTGATCTATCTGCTGTAGACTGATGCAGACAGGAGGCTTCTACTAGCGAAAGGTAGTGTCCCAATTGGTATCGGGAAGAACTCTCACATCAAAAGAGCAATCATTGATAAGAATGCTCGAATTGGAGATGATGTAAAGGTGTGGACTCTATTTGCTTTTTGGTCTTATTCTTTCGATTGCTACATTTATAAACAGATTTGAACTTATCATGTATGCAGTTTCAAGCGTATGTGTCATATGCATGAAAGAACTGAATGCATTTAGTGTGTATTGGATGTATATTTCTTTTGGTTTCATCTTCATCCGATTGTGCTTCTCACAACAGAACTATCTTAATTCTTGCCCTTGAACGATGTTGGTATGTCCAATGTGTGATCGTAAACATGGAACTTTCCTTTCAGATCATAAATAGTGACAACGTTCAAGAAGCAGCTAGAGAAACAGATGGTTACTTCATCAAGAGTGGGATCGTCACTGTTATCAAGGATGCCCTGATACCCAGCGGAACTGTTATCTAGAGACCTTGAAAATAACTGGGAAGATGAGAATCCTGTCTTTTCCCCCTTTTTCCTCCCTCCTTGTCAACCTGTCTGCTGATGCTATAGAGAGCAGGACTCAATGTACCGTATACCGTCAACTGTGTTCAACAGGCAGTAATTGACAAGATCATGTAGAAAAAAGTTTATGAGAATGTTCAATAAAGCTAATCCTTTGTAATCTCGAAGTATAAGATTTATTCATTGTTAGTACAAAATTATTGCTTTGTTTAGCGGATCTTGGTTATTAGATAGCATCTTTCAGACTCGGTTCACGGGAACAGTTTGAGTGACTACAACGGATGCAATCATAGAGGCAAATGGAGACCGGTTTACTTTTGCTAATCCTATGGATCACAGAGATGCAAACCGAAGTCAACTTGAATACATTCACAGAGACATGCAAACTGAGTCCGAATGCGTTACATAGAAAATCTATTCAGTATATACGCTGCATCTTCATCCAGAAATGGGGGTTGGGGGGTCATCATGATAATGTCTGAGCGTATTTGCTGTTGGAGATGGAATTAATCGTGGTTGAAGTACTCGGGCAATCCGGCGGGGTAGAAGAGTGACTGCAAATTGAAAAAGAAGCCTAGAGTTAGACAATTATAAGATGCGGTGGCGGAAAATCCTGGACAGGCCTTTGTTAATGTACTAGTATAACATTGAGCTCTAGGCTGGAGAAACTGTTGGAGGAAAGTGATGGAGGACAAAGGGAAGATCACCTTGAGTTGAAAGGAAGCCGGATGATCTTGCTTCACCACCAAAGAAAGAACACCCGGTGGTCATGAGCCTTGTAGCAAAAGTCAGAAGCAGAAAGTAGTGGTACAAAACAGCATTACCTAACTTAAACAAGTTTCTCATCGTTGCTTTTACTTGAATCAAGTGCGATCTACCAAAATTGATGTGCAGTTGATCTAGCCGGCAGAGAAGGGCTGTCTATTTATGCGGGATTTCGAGACTTTCAGAACTCGGACCAAGGGCGGGCAATGTGCATCAGCATTAGCAGGCAGTCAGATCCCGGAATTTCCAGCAGCCTCTAAATTCAAAGAGATTAAGATTTCAAAAATGAGAATTCAATAAGATTAAGTCAAAATGAGAATAAAACTTCTTCCAGGCCCTTTTTAAGTCCAAGGCAGCTTGTTCTCCTCTTGCAGCTGGAGAAAGAATCCTATCAAAAGTAGATTTACTCTTTCGTTTCATGGAGTTTTTTATATTGTCGCGCGAGCAAATTTCGTTTCATGGAGTTTTTGATAGCAACATTCGGCCGTGAATCCTGTCATGTTGGCAATCTTTGCTTTTAGAATCCTGACGGTACTGTTTCTTTTAAGGTTCAAGGTCATTTGTATAACAGCTACTGGGAAACGTTGGTTCTAGACTTCTTGAGATGTTTTCTACAAGGCTTATTCGGGTATAACAAAAAGAAAAAAACAGTTCCAGATTTCAAGTTTGGCTTACATTTTAAAAGTGGTAGGCGCATAGATCATGTTGAATGCTTCATTGAACATACATTAATTCGCGGAACTGAAAGGGTCTCAGGAGATCAGTCAGTTCCAATATAGCCTCATAGATCATGCTCCAATGATTGGGAGTATGTTGTCCTACTGTAATCATGAAGTATCCAAATATAGACTAATGAGATCGCTTCTTTCAGACTTGAATTCTACTAATTCTCCAAAATGAGTTCAAGTGACTAAAGAATACAGACGGTTGTCTACATATTGAAACAATGAAAGCCAGTTTCACTCATTCCTTGACGCTTGCAAATCCTAGGATCACTAGTAGAATTCAAGGTGACTCAAAAGCAGTATTCCAGAGTCCTGATGCTTTACACACCGAGAAATCATTCAATATATCCGGCCGTTTAAGTTGCTTATCCTTCTATTGTAGGTGGCTCATAAGCATTACGGCCACTTCTATTTGCTCTTGGAGAGGGAAGTATTCCAGGTGGAAGTGCCCTAGCAATCCGGCGGTGGATCAGAGTTTCTGTCATTTGATAAAAGAAGCCCTGATTTAGACAATCACAAGTTCTAAGATAATTCCTAAAAAAATAATCTGAGTTTTAAGATTTGTTCTAAAAGTAGTATAATTCTGAAAACTGAATGTATATTACTTTTTCTGTCCCAAAATTATTGTTCAGTCTAGATTTTCACCTTTGTACTAAAACTGAAACTCCAAACCGGACAATAATTTTTCGGGACGGAGGGAGTATATTTTTTGGGACAGAGATAGTATAGTAGTATATAACATATAACCTAAATGCTGCAAAAGAGTACTAATTCAGGAAATGATGGGAGAAATGAGAGAAAATTACTTCGACTTAACGGGAAGCTGGCTGATCTTGCTTCAGCATATTGATATAATCCGGGCATCAGCATTATAGCCGAAGTTATGAGCAGAAAGTACAAAACAGCTCCAAGTTTAAACAAGTTTCTCATGGTTTCTTACTTCAATGAAGAGCTATCTACCAAAATTGATGTCAGTTGACCTAGCAGGCAGAGAAGTGCTATCTATTTATTTACGATGGATTTCAAGACTTCCGAATTTCGGACCAAGTCTCTTGGTGGAGCAGTCAATCCCAATTCCCACTCCAAAGTGGAGCACTTGTATATTCTTCCAACCACTGAACTCTCCAATAAAAGACTTTTGTTTTGTTTTGTGTTTTTTTTTTTTTTTCCATTTCTCAAATCAATTGGATTGGCCAACGTAGTTTTTAAATTCTCGACCTCTTGATAATAACAATTTACCTTTACTACCAAGCTCGACACCGAGAATCCAATAAAATTACGACAAATCGGGAATAGAGCTTCTATTCTCCTCTTACATCTACCAGGAGGAAGCAACTTAACGTCTAATAACAAAAGTAGATGGGCTGAGTTTCTGATACCGGAATGTCGCGTGGGCTTGCCGTACACGACATCAACGATCGAGTTGAATGCAATTGAACCTAATCTTGAGCATTAACCTGGAAAAAAAAAAAAACAAATAAAGCAGGAAACCGTAAATGGTTTCCATCCTCATCAGATCACTTTTCCCCTACAACGCGAATCGGATATCTTTCCCCTTCAAGCACGTACTGATGAAACCGTGATTCTTTCCTTTTCAGATCATAAACAGTAACAGAGTTCTAGAAGCAGCTAGATAAACAAATGGCTACGTCTGTCATCATCAAGAGGAGGATTGTCATTGTTATCAAGTATGCCTTGATTCCAACTGTATATCATCTAGTGCGAAGATGAATTTACTTCTTTCTATTTTTATTTTATTTTTTTTTACGGCAACTCAGCTGTATTATTAACCACCATCTGAGGTTATACGAAAGATGATTTCTATGAGTGTTCAATAAAGTATGAGACTATGATTGGCTGAGATGGCGACGGAGGGAACAAAATCCAGGATCGATTTTCACATAGTGTGATATATATTGGGACAAAAAGAAGAAACGTGACAAAAAGGCACATTGATGAACTACTCCCTCCGGTCCTTATTATAAGACATTTTAATTTGTACTAAGTTTCACCCACGATATCTTTTTAATTGAAATAAAAACCTTAAAAACCTTTCGTAATAATTAGGAGATTACAACCAATCTGAAAATATATTTTTAAGATTTTTCTTCCAATTAAAAATATATATTAGGTGAAACTTAAGACAAAATCAAAATAGTTTATAATAAGGACCGAGGCGGAGGGAGTATATGCGTATAAGTTGTAGGCGTTATCCTTGAGTTAAACAAAACCTATGGATCACAGAGACGTGCAAAATAAAGTCAACTAAAATATAATTTCTTCTTCCAGCTAAATACAGTTTTTATGGCTTCCGGAGTCGGGATGCTCTACATGGAAGAATAAAATTGTGTATGCTATATACATTACATCTTAGTGCAGTATGAAAAAGAAGGCGAAAAAAAAAAAAGGAGAAGAGAGCCCGAGAACTGTATACTTCGCTTATCCGGGATGATGATTGACATCTGCTGCTGGAGAGGGAATTGTTCCTGCTGGATCATATGCCCTGGCCATTCTGCGGTGTATAAGCATTTCTGCTATTTGGACAGACAGAAAAAAAAAACACAAAAAGAATCAAACTTAAGACATATCCCAACCAAACAGGTGGCTAAAAGAAAATAATAATAATCAACAAATATAATAACACCAAATAAAATATGAAAAAAAAAAAGAAAGGAAGATGAAGGGAGGATGTCAATCATAATTCCTTAATGTGGAAAATTCCGGAGATATGTAACAATTTCAATTCTATTACGTGATAGGCTAGTTCCCCATGGAATGCAATTCAAACAGATTATCTACAACGGGAGCCTGAATGCTGAAAAGATTCCATCAAGAAGTGATGAGGGACTAAGAGTAAATCACCTTGAGTTAAAAAGAAGTTGGATGATCTTGCTTCACCATATTGACAACACCCGGAAATCAGAATTATAGCAGAAGTTATAAACAGAAAATAAAATACAGCGCCACGTTTAAACACGTTTCTCATTGTGTTCACTTCAGTGAAGTGCTGCTATCTACAAATGATGGTGGAGGATCTATAGCAGGCGAAGAAGGGCTTTTTATGTGGATTTGGAGAGTTCCAAATCTGGACCAAGTCTTCAGGAGCACTAGGCACCAGGCAGGAAGCCCTCAAAATGTGACAGTCAATCCCAGCTACCTCAAAATTCAACCTACTCTACCAATAGGACTAAGTCTCCAAAACAATTGAGAATGGTAGTTCCATACTTCCACGGCCACTTTGATCTCTTCTTACATCTACCAAAAGCAAGCAACTAAATTTTCTTATATCAAAATTTGATTTCCTCTTTCATGTCATGGAGTTAATTAAGTTCAGATACATGAATGCTGCACGTTGTTGCATCACAGAAATATTTAAAAACTGTAGACAACAATTAATCCTTACCTCATAGTTGCTGTATGTCATCGATAAGTTGAACCTCACTAAACACTTGTAAGACTTTTCCAAAGAAATTCTCAGCCAAGTAACTATAGAAGATGTATTGTAGCGTTAAGACCAGAGCTAACGATGCTTTGACAACAGCAAGCAATTATCTTCCCACCATGTGCGACTGTGTCAGTGCAGTAACTCTTTGCCAAATTCAATTTACAGTATAACTGATGGTAACAGGACCAAATAGCAATATCAGTCACCATAATTGGCTTAAAAGTTCTGAAATTACGTGCAAATCAACACCGCAATCATGTAAGCTATACACATGGCAATACATTCTTATATCTCTCTATGAAGATGCCATAAATCCCAGTATATTGTTCTGATATCTCCCATTTGTTATTTTTTGTACACCTATATATCTCAGTGTTTGCTCATGCCATCTCGTTCATGATGAACTGGACTATAGAACCTCTAAGTTCCAAATTGTAGAATAAAAAAGTGGCACATTCCATCCAGCATTGCTTATGGTGAAAATAAATACAACCACATAAAAGTGACAATTCATTTCATCTTTGGAGTGGTAGTAGGAAAACTTTGAAAGTATTCAACATAACAAGTAGAAATAGGAAAAAAGAGCTACAATGCTCTCTTCAACCCGTTCACCATTTCCAACCTTTGAACTAAAAACTAAATAACCTCAAAATGATATCTTAGAGACATGATTTGTCAGACAACTTACAAGTTATCTCCAACAGTGCAATTATCTCTCTTTGGTCAACCTCCTCCATTTATCCTTGAGATCAACTGGATTACGAGTTCCATCAAAGACATGCCGGCCGAAGCTCAGTATTTTACTCCAAGGGATATTCTTGTTCATACTGGTCGAGAAAATTCTGACACTTTCCTGTTTACCAGGGGTTTTTTTTTTAGAAGTGATTGTAGAATAGTAGGAATATAATTATTAAACACAAAAGAAAAAAAAAAGGCTATGGAAAAGAGTAAGTAATGGCCAATAAGAGAATGGTTAAAAGAAGCTCTAAAGCCATTAAACCAAAAAAACTATAGACATTCTTCTAGTGAGAAACATAAAAGCAGCTGAAACCAGCATATTGAACACTAAATCATCCTTGGCCATAAGTATCTTCCAAGAGATGGAAATCACTCCCAGTAAGAAGTTTTTTTATTATCCAGAAGGAGAAACACAATGAGTTTGCTCTGGATTAACTAGAAGGGATGTTAAGGGCATTTTGGCATCATTTATAGAGGTTTGATGCAGTTTGGTATGCCTGCTTGTAATTATATGATATGGAAAAGCTTTAAAATACAAATGGTCCACTTAAAGCACGTACCTGAAGCATATTGACCTCCTCATCTGTCCATGGCAAGCTTTTACGTCTCCCACTAGAAAACAAGTCACTGTACATGAACAAGGAAATGCAAGTGAAAAAACATGAAGGGAACATACATCGACAATTTTGAAAGAAAACAGGAAGTTTGCGTATTATGTAAATTACATTGTTGAAGCTGGCTTAATTAGTTTTCTTGACTCTCTGGCAGCAACAATTTTCTCTAACGTATCAACATAAGCTCTCAATCCTGCAGCTGAATTTCGAAAAATCCCCAAGCAGTTTTCATTCGAGGACTTGTCTCTTCTGTCACCATCATATTTACATCGTTTCCCAGTTACAGAACTCTCAGAGTCAGTGCACATCGAAGCATCAGCCCCAGACCCCCTTTCCTCCAACAAATGCACCGGCAATGCAAGGTCACTCTGTGAAGATGCAGAAGTTTTGTTTACCTGTCCCTCAACCTGTTTTCTTCCTTCATTATTGACGATAGCCTCCTGAACAATCCTTGCATCATTACCCACCTTTCTAGCTTTTGAAAGATTTTCTTCTCTTGATACAAGGGGATCAACGAAATGGTTGCCCTCCAGCTGATATTTAACCTGTCTCCGAGGTTGGTATATGACATCTTTCTGTTGAGGTTCTAAGGAAATATTTTTGTGAATTTCTGCCATTTTGAACCTCTTTCCTGTTTCCTCATCTTCAGAAGGCAGCAATGGAAAATGATTGGCCTCAAAGTGAATTTCAAGATGTTTCTGAGGTTGGTAGCCATCACATTTTAGTTGAGGCTGTAATCGAACTTTCTTACCAATTTTTACCATTTTGAACCGCTTTACTGATTCCTCGTCTTCAGAATCCACACGATCCTGACCACAAGCAACTATAGGTCCCGACAATGTTTGATGTCCTGCCACCAATTTGGGATCATGCTTATCACTTGTTTTGACAATGTCCCCATATGTAGTACCTAAACCATCACAATGATTTCCCTGACATAATACATCAGCTTCTCGAGATTGTGGAAAACACTTGCTACAATCAGCAGCTACTCTGTCTTGTTGGCCATCTTTGTCTAGGAGAATATGCTTAGGGGAATTAACCTTGTTAGGTTGATTTTCATCATCTTCTGAATGAGGATTACAGATATTTCTGGCATCTAATTGATGAGTTTGTTCTTTACAATGGGAATTTCCCAATTCTTGTGGCTGGCAGTCTCCATTCATCAACTTCCCATCTAAGAAAACCAACAAAGCTTTCTTTCTTGACATAACCTTTTCCTTAGCTTGACGCGAGTCTTCAACTAATTGTGTGTACACACAATAGGGGCAGTAGAACTTACTCTTTTCATCAATTTCAACAGGAAAACCCAAGCATTTCTCATGAATAGCCAGAGGACAGGTACTAGAACTACAGACTAAGACATCCCCTCCTCTATCACACCTTATGCAGTGATCCTTCCCTAACAAACCCATAATTACAGTCTTTCAGATCTCCCTTATCTCTGGCCCAAATACAGTTGAGCAGTGAAAAATTCGTGAATAGCAGTTGGAGTTGAACCAGTGTAGCAGTTAGCTCTAGCCTAGACATATCATCATACAAGCTTTATTAATAAGGGAGAGAGGAAAGCAGTAAAAAGAATTGAAAATGCATTTTAGCCTTTTTATTAAGGAGGATTGGTTCAGAACTCAAATTAATTACTAGCAAGACGCAAAAATGGAAGTTCACCAATGTAAACACCAAGAAAGATGACAAAAACCAATCACCAAACCTTCAACGTATCCACAAAAATGGTAATAAGAAGTAAAACATTCCAAATTCATATTCCTCATTCATCATCTCAAATTTGTAAAGAAAAACAGTCGCGCTACCAATTCATCGTCACCTAAGGTGAAACAAAGGTAAAAGAACAAGTAGTGTTCAGCAATTCTTAAAACTAAACGAAATCAACATTATAACGCTGCTTTCTACAGAGAAATACCTGTAAATTTACTCGCGTTGCAACAATGAAATTGTAAATTTCAGAGAATTGAAGTGATAATCCAAGCTCTATTTTATTCGCACTGCTATTTGTTCACAAAATCACAGATAAACACTGATAATTCTGCTCAGGCACAAATAATTCCTACACAAATTGGCGAAACACTACCCATCGCCGGTACACAATCTCGGCGTAAACCTACGAATTCGTACGGCATTAAATAATAGACATGATGAAACTCACAGGTGATTGAAAGGTGGAGCAGCGAAGGAATAGCGGAGCGCGCTTAACGCCGGAGACGTCCCCGGTAGTCACTGCCACTGGTTGTCATTATAAGCTCCTCATGCATCACTAGCAAGGTTGGTGGTAACGGATAAAAAGGGAGAAATTATGGAAGAGGGAAACGACTGCGAGGATTTTAAAATCGGAAAGAAAAGAGATCTAAATTTAGTCCATATTTTGCTACACTATAGTCCCGTTATATTTTCATTTTGGCCTTTTAGAGCATCTCTAATCAAGACATTAAAAACACTAAATTAGTATTTTAGTGCAAAGTTTGCACTCTAATAAAAATACTAATACATTATTGCACTCTTTTGGTGTAATAAATAACTAGATGTTTGGCCCAGGCAGATGTCCGGGCGCCCCTTCTAAATTATTATTTTATTAAAATCTAATTGAATTACTATTTTTTGAGGAATTAATTTGGCGTATATATCATTTATGTTATGATTTGGGGCTTAAAAAAATATACCTATAAATCTGAGGTTATAAGGGAATATTAAATAATTAGTTTATAAGGCATTATTCTTAATTGCTGGATTTAGGTATTTTTATTTTTTGTTTATATTAAGCCTGCAAAACGATACGATTGGACATTTGAATTTGAATAAATATATCCATACGTTTGAAATGTAACTGATCCTTATTTGTAGTAAAACATGTGTTTTTTTTTAAAAAAAAAAATTATATAACTTCTAATTAAAAGAGACTTACACGTGGCAAAAAGACTCCTGAAATCTGAAATATGGTGCATTGGAGCCAAAACAGATGCATACTTAGTTGCCACATAAGCTTCATGTCTTCTGCTTTAATAGGGTAAAAGGGATGTTAGTTCATCTCGAACCAAAATACCAAAATACTACATTTCGTGTTCTGGTATAAAGTTTGCACTGCACTATTTTGGTGCAATGTGTTTCACTAGATTTGGTGTAAATTATAAATTAGAGCAACTCCAACCAAGACACAACAACGCTATATAGTCTAAAGTTGGTGTTTTTATGTAAAATTTGCACTCCAACGAACACACTAAATCAGTACACCAATTTAGTGTAATGAATAATGTTACACCAAATTTGGTTTAAACTGTTAATTATACTATCTTGGTGCACTATCTTTTTTACTTTTATCTATATACGTAATTGAAATTTAGTTAAATATACAAATTAAATCATATTATGAAATTTATATCATATTAAATATTTTGTTGAGATCTTCAAAATAAAACTCATTTTGAATATAAAATTTATTTTTTAAAAAAATAATTATTTTCAGTCATTATTAAAATTAAATACGCAACAAATTGAAAAGAGATTATGATATTTCTACAATAAAAAAATGGGATTATAAAATAAATTGAATTGTTAAATGAAACTTAATTTTATTCCGCCTAACTTGTAAATTAGACTAAAATACTTTTGAATTCTAAACCATCCCAGATTATTTTATACGATTATCTCTTTTCACAACTTCACACATATTGTTTCAATATATAGTAAAAATCTCACTAAATGTTGATGATTTGCAATGGTGATGAACTAAAAAACACGCGAAATTACAGTGCAATAGCCGGAGAGGTGGAGGTCTCCGGTAATACAATTTTGTGTTACTCCCAATTACATTTAACCAGAAAGCAACACGTCTCTACTTACTTTTTCATTTTACTCCTCACACATCCACTTCCCTTCAAACGTTAACGGGTTAACATCAAGCTTATTTGCATTAATTTTGCAAAGAGAGAAAATTTTAAGAAATAAAAATAAAAGAAGAACGCTGAAGTTTAATAACTCTTATCAGATCTCCTTGCACCCCCATTCGGTCATAAATTCTGCTGAAATACACTGAATTTAAATCGCTAGAATTTTTTAGGGGAACTTTGAAATTTAGTGCTTTGAATTTTGGTGTTTGTTGATTTGGGTTGAACAGCATACTGGCAACGCCGATCACGGGCGTTGGAGCACTGTCAATGACAGAGGGTAATTTCTGATTCTAGATAATTAATTAATGTGATTGATCATATTCTTGATAACCAAAGTGCTAAGAGCTTTTCAATCATATCATATACTCCCCCCGTCCCATAATTATTGTCCACTTTGCCCAAAAAATTTTGTCCCAAAATTATTGTCCAATTTGATTTTTTATGGATCAAGTTACACATTTATCCTTAGTAAAAAAAATTATCCATAAAATCTTAATGGTTAAACAATTACTTATGTAGGGGTATATCCGGTTGTTTAAGGTAAAATATAGTTAAGTTTGACTAAAAATAAAATCTTTCATTTTAGTAAAACTGGACAATAATTATGGGACGGAGGGAGTATATATATATATATATATATTAATACAAAATATTTTCTGCATGTTTGACACAAAATTGTGAGGTGATAAAATACAATTGGAAAATACTTATAAATTAGACGTTGTAACTTTTTTATATAACTTTTTCATTTAATCTGTTTACAAATTAGAAAAGAAAAAATTATTTAACTCAATCAATATGTGAAGTAACTAATTCAGAATCTTAACATATTTTTCAATTTTGAAAAGGAAAATATCTTTACATCTTCTTTTAGTTATAATCGAATAGATTTACTAAACAATTTTTTTAATTATTATTTTTTTTGATAAACAGATGGATGAGATGAGGATAAATATTTTTTTTAAAAAATAAACAGATGGATGGGATGAGGATTATAACGATATTTTTAAGATCATTAACCTGTCTTATTTTTATGTAAGTTATTAGGAGTCTTTTGAAATGACCTAATCAATATCTGATCAAACATTTTGTCTTATCTCAACAAATTTGAGAAAAATGTGAACAATATCCTTTTCATATTATATTATAATTGCAAAATAATTTTTAGAATTTGATAGTCCTTCCCAATTATTTGTTATCATGCACATCTTAAGATTTTGATAGTTGAAGTATTCATGTAGGGTGTTAGAATGTGTTAAGTTTCAGTTCATTTACACCACACGTATCCCTTTTACCCTATTAAAGTATGAAACAGGATACTGATGTGGCAATTTCTTATTAAAAGGTTTTGGCTCCAAATGCACCATATTGCATAAACCATTCTGCCACGTGTCACCCTCTTTTAAAAACAAAAAATATATTTACAATATTAACAAAGAGATCAGATGTACATGTTCATTCAAATTTTGAATTTGACAGTAAATGGAACTTTCCTTCTCCACTTATTTAGGATTTTTGAAAAAATTAATTTTCGACAAATCAATTATCTTCATTAAAAATTAAATTCATTCCTAATCAGTTTTGATTATTTACATATTAATGTATTAGGTGGGAGGACGCCCCCAGACATTTATTCATTTCTAATCAGTTTTAATTATTTATATATTAATTTATTAGGTAGGAAGACACCCCCGAGCATTTGTCCGGGGCAAGTATCTAGTAGTAAGGTTATTGCTCAGTTTTGGCTCTCCATCATTCGAGTTAATTTTATTTTTCAACATATATATATTATAAGTACTTAGGGAACGTGGAATTGGGTTTGACAGTCTTATTCTCACATACTTCTTTTTTTTTTAATTGTTTATTTTAATTTTTAGTTTCTTTTTCTTTTAAGCCAAACTTAGTACACTTCTCCGTTTTTCTTTTATTATATTTATTGTGATCTTTAATTAAAATTATTGAAATTTTTATTTCTTTTTATCTTCTATTATTTATTATAGAACGTTTCATTTCCCTCCATCTTCTGTTTTTTTTTATAATAGATGTTATATTTTTCATCTTCCTTAGTCTTTTGTTCTTAACTACATATGTTATGATTTTCATCTCTTTTTATTACTATATGTTATAGTTTCTATATTTATTTGAAGTCTTTTCATCTACTATTTAATTTAACAACCACTACAATACATTCTACTTAAACTATTTAATGATTATATTTTTTTTGGAGTCTTTCTTTTTTCTCTTCTCTTCTTCTTAACTTTCTCTTATCCAAGTTTTATCCCCCCCCCTTTTTTTTATTTTGCAAGTTTATTTTGATTTATTTTTCCAACAATCTAATTGGGACTTTAATATCAATTCGAGTACAAGTAGAGATGGACAATTGGGAATTAAATGACAGGTTAGTGGTTAGGTTGCTGTTATTCTTGGTAACAGATCAGGGTTCGATTCTTACCAGGGGTTGTAAGGGAGGGATTTTACCCACATTTAAGTGGGATCCACTGGGGTGAATTTTTGAA